AAACAATGCATTTGATATTTTTTTTTTTCATTTTAAATACTTTTTGAGCCCAGCTTCAAAGTGACCTCCTGAGGTAATGGTTCATATAATTCCTGGCAGAGAACAGCTTTTGAGTAAAAGCTGGAGCCCTAAAATGAGACCTCAAAATATAAAGCCATCACTCCATTTTCCCCAGGTACCTGCCTGCCTGGAATCCATCCTCCTTATACTCCTTTGTTTGAACTCTAGAATGGGTGACAATGTTATTAATTAAAACTGTGGCATGCACAAGTTTTGGAAAGGGAACAAGAAATGCAAAAGCAGTGATTTCCTCCTCCTCCTCTCCCTCCTCTGCAATTTATTCTATTCTTGGATTTCCATGTGATATCTTGTCCTGCAAATAAAAATCCCAACCCACCTTCCCCATCCAGACTTACTCTGAGGAGGTGCTTGGGAACACCTTTTGCTTTGAACTGAATCATTGCTTTATTTCCTAGATATGAAGGCAGCAGCAGGGACCCACCCACCTGCTCCTTGGATCAGGGGTACTGGCACTATGCAAATATAACACAAAAAGACATGCAGGCAGTAAATCCCTGGTTGGGGGATGTGAGAGAGGTTCACAGAAACACCTTTTTCTTTGGGTTCACAGCCTTTTCCAAGTCAAAGGTGGCCACTTACATTGCCTCCATCTAGGTCAGGCTCCTGAAGTGGAAAGATGTAGAGCAAGTTACAGGTAAAAACCAAGGATCCACTGCAGTCACCTCCTCTAGACGACAGCTCAGGGCCCATTATCTAGTCTGGCTTTCTCTAATGCTCTGCATCCCACAGAAAACCTTTTTTGTAACCTACTTGCTGCTGCTCCCCATTTCTAAAGAAAACTGCTCTCCTTTACTGGCCTGGGTGCTGCAAGGAAAAGTTCATTGTCAGTAGGGATGTCATTTTAAAAAATTAATGCATTAAAAATGTTTCCTTCCTCTACAATAATGATAATCTTAATTTCTGAGCTTCCTGCAGTAGAACATTTTCTTAATTGAATTCCTAATACATTGAACATCTCTAAAAAGCATGAATGGCAATTTCATCCTGCTGGCTGCATTCTCCTGAGGAACACTCTTTGGGGACTGTTCATGACACAAAGACCTTTTTTCCCTCTCAGGACAAGGTTTTAACTTCAGCCTTTGCCCACCAGTCAGTATCAACCCTTGTTCTCAGTGTGGTGGATCCTTTGCTGGAGGGGAGTTCCTGTGTCTGTCCCAGGGCACAGCTACAGCTCTGCAGGAGCTACATCACCACTGGGCTGCCTCTTCAGCAGGTCCAGCAAATCTCCTGTTTATATGAGCACAAGGTCCTGCCAAGGACTTGCTTGCACCATTCCCTTGCCAGGTGTGTCCTGGTGCTGGCAGGACTCCTGATGGGGGCCTGCTGCCCCATGCTCTCCATCCCAAAGCGCATCCAGAGACATCTCTGATTCTTTTAGGTGCTTAGGAGCTCTGCAGAGTTAGTAAAAGCACCTTTGGAGGTGTTAGAGTTGCCTTGTCTCATTGGAAATTAGATGAATGGAGAGGGGAAAGCAAAGGGAGGATGGGAATGTGCAGAGCTCCCCAGGAGATCGTGTGCCATGCTGGGTCATTTCCTCTGACAGAGGTTTTTTCCCATGATTACTTTGTAGTTATACTTTGTACCTGTCATTTTGTGACTATGGATGAAGCATTTTAACTTGAAAAGTTATTCCTTAGATCTGGAAGAAAGATGAAAAATTTTGCGGGGAGGGGGAAACCAGAAAAAGTACTGGGAAATAATCTCTTCATGGGAGGTCTGAATTCTTCCCTCTCCTCTGAAGGTCAGTGTCTACCCTGAGCTCAGCTGCACCACAGATCCAGCAGAACATCTCTCCCTTGGTATCCAGCTTCATTATGGTTCCTGTTTTCTCTTCCCTCCCAGGACAATTGCACTGCCCTGGGCTGCTCACTTGGGAAGGGAGCCCCACAAGCAAACCTCTTGGGCATGGGAGAGTCCTGGTGGAAAGCTGTTTGTGTGCAATGGGAAGATACCTAGCTCAAAATCACTCTGCAATCTTCCACTGCTATCCACTGTAAGTGTAGCAGCAGGCAGATCAATCCTGCTGGCTAACAGAGAACAGTCTTTTACCCCTAAAAAGTGATTGAGTACAGCTCTGTAGAAATAAAGCACTGATTATCTACATTTCACACCAGGTCTATGGGCCTAAGTGTGTGCAAGAACACCTTGAACTCCCAGGGCTCAACACATCTGCCATTAGAATAAGTTGTACCAGGGACTGACTGGACCATTTCACTCTTCAGTGGTGATTTTTCAGAAAATGCACTGTACTGAAGATGATTTTCCATTTGGAATAGCACAGGAATGCTCTCCTAAAACACTGAACACTCCTGGTATTTTTAACTTAAAAATGGCTGCTCAAAATACAAGGAAGAGTGTAGGTAATTAAGCCCCTGATCACTTAAAATTAGAGCATGTGGCTCAGAGAACACAGCCCAAATCAATGAGGGCACAGCGCTTTGCTAAAGGCATCTCTAAAAACAAGTGCTATGGAGTGGAAGAAAGGTCTAGAGACTTTTCAGTTCCCATCTACAGAACAAAACTGTGCCCTTTTGTGGTAATTTTAATATTTTTCTAGTGACTTTGATTTGCTATGTAGAAAAAACAAGAGATAACAAACACAAATTGTCTCCAGCTTTAATGTTGTATTTTCCAACTGCCTCCCTTTTCTCTGATCACATGTATGGAGTGCAAGACACATTTTACTCAATGCCAGAGCTGACCAAAAGCTCTCAGTATGTTTTATATTGGTTCAGTTAGTGACTTAAATTAAAAAAATTAATTAGTAATAATTAATTATTAATTAATTTTTTAAATGTACAGCAAGATGGTGACTGCAGCTCAGCCATGTTGCTGTGACAGTGGTCTGTAGGAAAAGCTAAGCAAGCTGTTATGGGTGTCAGAGGAATAAATCTCTTATCTCAAAGGGCTGATCCATAAAGGATTGATGGTTCAAGCCCTGCTCTCAGACAGGTCATTTTTGGTACAAAATGTAAATGTTTTATCAGCATCAGAACATCTCATGGTTCAATTACTGAGCCTACAAGAAGCCCCAGGTTGTCAGCTCAAGCTTCTCACATTAAAGGGAAAGCCCAAAAATGAGTCTCAGTGTCACAGGCTAGGGTCCTGCATTAAAAAAAAAATAAAAGAAAAAAGGGAAAACACATTAAAAGTCTACAACTGAGAATTTTCACAGTGTGATCAAACCCCCTGCAACGAGAGAGAGACTGACATGACTCTTAACTCCAGTTCTCTGGCTCAGACCCTAAATAGTTGAGGTCAAATTTTTAATAGAGAAGGTGAGTGATAGATTCCAGATTCACAAGTCAGGCAGCCTCCTGACGTTTTCTGTCTGTAAAAATAAGTAGCCTTTCTCTACTTCTAACAGAAATCTCTTCCCTGGCTCTCCTTGACGGTTTCCTCTCCTGTCTCCACCTCCAGAGATGTCTGAACAGTATAATTTCCTTTTATTTTTAGCCATCTTTCATAATTGAAAGTATCTCTGCGTCGAATAGAAAACGTTCCCATGAATTCCTCAGAAGGCACTTAGAGCAAGCAATTGATGAGAATGAAATATTTAATGGGGTTTTATACCTGTGAACCTGGTGACACCGGCACATCTCAGCAGCAAAATTTTCATTACATCAGGATGGATGGGCATGAGGCTTTCACCTCCCCAGCTTGGATTGTGCTTCTCTTTTGGGGTCAGTCCTGGATCTGGCCTGAGGGGTCTGGGAGTCAGTGGCAGGTGAGGAGTGGCTGCTCCTGCCCCCAGAGCTCCCAGTTCTTCCTATTGAGGACCCAAAACTGCTGCCTGGGGCAAAGCTGATGTTTCTCACTTGTCAGAGCATACAGGGTGCCTGCAGTGCTCTCCAGAGACACAGTCATATCCACAGGCAGTTATTGATCTCATCTCAGCAAGGAACTCCTTGGAATCAGACCCAGAGTCCAACCTGCTCCTTTTCTTCTCTTGCAAAGTAGCCAGAGCAGATGTCTCTGGAATAAGATGACACAGGAGCTCCTTCAGGTCTCCTGCATACATGCTGCCCACACACAAGTTTGCACTCAGGATCTTCCTGAGGCATCATTTTTGCCTTTGTATTTAACAGTCTGTGAAGGATTTTTCATCCCTGGATTAGCTCACCTTTTTCTCAGGCCTGTTCTGTGCTCCCATTTTGATGCTCAGGGAGACAGACCCTGCTCCTTCTTATTCTCAGCAGCTCAGATGGATTTTGCCTCGACCTGAGGAGCTGCAGCAAGAGCAGTTCAAAGAAAGTGGAGGAGCAGAAACAGCCCCTCTGTAGCCCACACTGGGGCAGGATTAATTCAGTTTAATGTAACTACTAAAACTGACCCTGAGAATCCAAGGCTTTAATTGCATCAACTTCACAAATCAAGCTTTTTCTAATCAAACTCTCTTGTTGTGACTCACCCCTAGCCCAGAGCCAACTGCTGTGGAGATAGAGGAGACAAGCCTCAGTTCTCTCTACCCTTTCTCCCTTCTTAACCAGCCATTAACATCTCCTTCCTATGTATCCCCTTCTGGGCTGCCTGCCCTCACCCCCCACATGTCACTGCTCTGTCCCCTGCCACCTCCCAGCTGGCTCATGCATCTCACAGCACCCTGCTGGAAAGGGTGCGAGGAACCCTCTTTTGTCCTTAAAATTAAGGAGGCCTCTTAATGAGTACATGGGCATCACCCTTGGGGGTGTCTCCTGTGCTGCCTGTGTCAGCCCCTCCTGGTCTTCTCTTGCTGAAGCTGTGGAGGAGAGCTTTCAGCCTTGCCTCTGTTTGGGAACCGTACCACCGCTGGAATTTATGAATCATAACGAATCACCTTGCCAGGCACAGGGAGGGTTATCCGTGTGGGATCTAATAACTCCCGGACGTTTAATCACCTGTGGTAGGTTCTGAGCACGTTGCATGACAGTTAACAGAACTGACCTTTTAAGGTGAAACCACAGGAAGGTGTTTCTCTCACAGGTCTTTCCTCACCTGGCTTGTTTAGAGCATGCTGTGAGCAGCAGGACCTCCTGGCCTGGCAGAAGCAGGAGGGAATGTTGTCCCTCAAGAATTCCCCATTGGGATTTCTACATAGATTTCAACATCAAAGAAAGGAACTGAGTCTGAATTTTGCACGGGGCTGTTGTTCCAAGGTGTCCATAGACACTCAGAAGCCAACACGATCTCCCAAGAAGCCTGGAGAGGTTCTGCCATGCCAGAGGAGGCATCGCTGGGCCTGGCCCGTGACTGCACGTGTGTGCAGGTGAGTTGTGTGGGCTCAAAGCTGCCAAACCCCCGCCATTTGTGCATCCTTCATTCACTCCTACCCCAAAACCCAATATTTTTCCCCTGTGAAGAGTTGCCTCTGTCAAGAAAATACGAATTATGAAGATCATGAACTGCCCCTTTCCTGTCTGTGCCAGTCCCATCATGCTACTCCCCAGTAGTGCAGCAGCTGAGGTGGGTGCCACCAACACTACATTCTCAACAGCCTCGTGAGCTAAGCTGAGCTTCCCCAACACTGATACATCTGCTGTGTGAGCACAATTGCATTTAATTGCTGAGATAAATTTAAAATAATTGCCTGGGTAACATTCCCTCTTCCAGGGGTGTTTGTGGATGAGCAGGGCTTTTCTGGGTAACCCCACGCTGTGCCCAGGCACTGGCAGCAACTTTTCCAGACAGCCAAAGCACAACTCCTGCTCTCGAACGCTTCCCCACGGCCCTTGGAGTGGTTTCAAGTGAAAAGCAAAACGGCGACATTTTAAATGTTGCCTCCCACACAGTGTCTCTCTTCAGCCTCCGTTGCCACTTGCTGCGGGTTCAGAAGTCTCTGGTGGATCAGTCTACCCCCGGAAAACTGTGGGTTTGCTAAAATAGAAGCATTTTTGCAGAAGGCAGTGATTTGGATGAATGTTTTGCCAGCACACATCTCAGGCACTTGCAATTTGTCTCAGCATTTTGTGTTTTTATTTTATTTTGGATTTAGTTGTCTTGTAGGCAATACTACCAAAACAGAATATTTCAATGTTTGTAAATAATTTTGGTGGGAGGGGCAGGGGGAAAACCCTGATTTTCAAATACACTTTGAAATACCAATATTCCCTACCCAGCAGTAGTCTCTCTTTGCTCTCATCTCACGGTATCAGCTCTGGTTACATAAAAGTTAATGGCACTGGGAAAGGACCTGGATGTCTTTCCCACTAATATGCTTTACTTTGAGGATGGTGAATTATTTAAAATGCTTTCTATGTCTTTATATAGTCTGTCCCAAGTCACAATCTCATATTTCCTTAATGTCAGTCTCATAATCGATTATTCCTTTTGTGGTAGCAGCTGGCATCTCCTGTCAAGATCCTGTCAAGGACCAAGGGGCAGTTGATACCTTCCTGGGTGGTGATGGAGAACAGGGCAGATGGAGGCTGCTGTCATGCACCAGCTCAGCCAAAGCTGGGGATGTCCATGACCTTCACAGCCCAGGATGAGCTGGAGGAGAGCAAAGCCAACAGCTGAGCAGAGAATTACACCAGCCAAGTGAAGCAGACCCTGGGGTTGGTGGATCCTAAAGAGAAAGCACTGGACAAAACAGGAAAAGCCCTTTCAAGACAATGGGAAGCATTTGAATTTGAAATGCCTTGGTAAATGCTGTTTTCTGGCACCTGGGAAAATTTCTCAGTAGTCATGGCAGGAAAAAAGAGTAAGGAATAGTGTGTCCAGTGGAAATTCCTGCAGCTCTTGGCTCAGCAGAGTAGAATTATTGGAGACTGGAGCCTGCTCAGGACAGTGGAGCTAACACCTCCACCCTTGCAAGAACTGGGATCTTGGGTGACCACAAGTGGTGAGCTTGGGATGTCATTAAAATGCAACTCCTGCAGCAGCACAGCCCAGAACTCCCTGCTGAGCAGTTTCATCATGCTGCAAACTTAGAGGGAGGGTGTCAGCTACTAAATCACCCAAACCGCTTCCTGCAGCACCTGCTTTTAACTCCCATCTCCTGTCCCAATAGTGCCTAGACACAAGTGCAAAGTGCTGGATCTTCAGCACACATTGCCACTAGAGGAGCAACACACAGGAGTAACACCTGTGCCCTCACCATGGGCAGAAGCAGAGCATGGCCCTGCTCCTTACTGGAATGCACTTCTCCAGCACCTGGCCAAGCCTAATGGCTGAGCATTGCTCCTGGACATGGACTGGAAGACAGGCAGAGACATCTCGAGGAGGACTGTGACCCTCCCAGCTGCCTGCTCACTCCTCAGCTTTCTCTTTCTCAAGGGCTTCAGGAAGCTGCAGAGGTTCTGAGATTTTTCTTTTCCCCTTTCTTGAAAGTGTGGCTAAAAATAAATGGAGTGTTGAAACCAAGCCCAACCCAGAAAGCAGAGCGTGTAGGTGTGATGCAAACCAACACCTGGGGCTGTGAAGCATCCTGGGGGAGCTGGCACCCATCTGGCAGAAGTGTTCTCTCTTTCTCCTCACTCTTTCTTTGGCACCTTGTCAAAGAGCACACAAGATGCTGAACCTTTAGTACTCTTGTTTGAAAATGACCTAGACATGTTGTTCTGGTTATGAGGAGAAGAGAACAAGGAGAGAACAAGTTTTCATTTGCAAAACTATCTGGGACCCCTGAGCTACTGCTGTGCTCTCAGGTTTTATTTCCTGGCTGAAGGTTTCTAGTGGTGGATGGTAGAAAACAGTGATGGCAGATACTTCTTTGAGGTGGTGGACCAGGACAGTTCTGAGGTTCTGCCCCTGGCAGGTATAAATAGACCAGCAGACAACATAATTCGACATTCTTGGACAGGGTCCAATGGAAAGAAACTCCTTCAAGTACCATAAAACCATAGAACTTCATCTTAGAACCTGTCAGGAAGACTGCTGTGTCTCCTTAATAACAGGTTTTCCATGTCTGCACAACATGGACATGCCAGCCCCACAGTGCCCCCTCACTCACACCCTCCCAGCAAGCATGGGGGCAGGCCTTGGGTGTGATGGGGAGTCTCCCCTGAAAACGGGGGATTTACGGAACTTTGTACAGTGAGAAAAGTCATAAAACATGTGAATGACACTGCCCTGGACCCCCAGAGAAGCCATGCACCCTGTCAGAGAGGAGGGGATGGGGACAGGGAGGCCATTAACATATCAATCCTTAAACAGCCTGAGGACTGCAGCTACCATGGGTTAAGGGCTGTGGTGGACAAATGTGGGCTTTGTGTCACCTCCAGTGAGATGGAGATTGGCATTTGGTGCAAGGGGAATGTGCCCCTCTTGGGTTCAGTAAATTGCTTGGTGATGCCGTGATCTTGGAGCAGCCAGGAGAGGCTGTGTGCAGCCACAGGGATGGGAGAGTTACCCTGGGACACAAAAAGGGCCTGCATTAGGTGGGTAAGGGTGGTAGCACAGGTGGGACTGTAGAAGATGAGTGTTATGAGTTGCATTGGTCTGCAACAGCCTAAACAGGGGCACCTCTCGGGCACAGCATCCCAGCAGCAACCTGAGAGGCAGTAATTCCCCTCTCCTCCCTGCCTTCTCCATCCCCAACACCTCTGCCAGGACTGAAAATGGTAGGAAAGTATCCTCCAAGCAAACAGAGTCAAAGAGCCATGAAGGTGGAAGGAGAGCTGTGAAATCCAGGTGGGAACCAAACAAGGTGTGATTCCAGGGGCAATTTTCAGGGAAGGGCTTCCAGGGACAGTCCAGCTGGTGATGTCTGTGGACACCAGCCAAAGAAAAAGACATGAGCGCTGCCAAGACCCTGCATTAACCTGCCCTCCCCTCATGCACCACCCTTGCTGATGTAAGTGCAGGGCTGGAAGCATTTTGCTCCCCACCAGCCCCTTCCTGCTTATCGGGAGCCGGTGGCGAGAGCAGGAGCTGCTCTCACAGAGGGACCCCACAAATCCTCGGATGAGCGCCCGGACCGAGAGCCGTTTCCCAGGGGGATTGGGCTGGATTGGATAATTAATCACAGCTTGTCTGGGGGAGGATGAGGAAGTCTGAATAAAGGTGTTAACGGCTCTTAAAGGCTTTCCTGGTTTGCAGAGGGTGCTGCCTCAAACAGATTATCTGGAAATATTATTAGCTGGAGTGGGAAAGGGGTTTTTTTTCCTCCCGTAGGCTCTTTGCAGCAACCCTAAATCTGCTTGAGCTGAGGAGACAGGTTTTATTGTGCAGGGGGAGGTGGGGGAGAGGTGTTGGCTGTCAGTGGGTCAGCAATTAATTGGTTTATTCCTTTCTCACGGTTATTTTCTAGCCAATATCGGCTAAAGCCCCGGTGCCCACTTTGTCCCAGCTCAGCAAACAAGAACTGCAGGGATTTGCACTGGGGGGACCCCAGGCCACGAGATTGGCTTTGCAGGGGCTGCTGGGAGGTCCCTTGTCCTGCCAAGCCTCTTTCCCTGTTATCTCGTCTTAGGAGGAGGATGTGATTAGTGTTCACTGCCATGGATGTCAGCTGAGGGATGAGAACTGTGTGCCAAGAGGAGGAAAGAGCTGCCATGGGTAGATGGTGAGTGAAAGCAGAGACCTGTCCCTTTTGCTCCAAAGTAAACTTCCCTTCAAATGTCTCTGTGGCCCATTAGTTCAGACAAATGCTCTTGTTCAGCCCTGTGCTACCTTGTCTCCTGGCACAAGTGACCCTCAGTGAGGGTGGGCTCTCCTCCATCTGCTGCTGCCATCTGGGAAATAATTTCTGATTAATCCAGCTTTATTGAAATGACATTCCTGTTTACCTGTGGCTTTGTTACAATTCTAGAGCCTATGCAGGTCAGAAACAGTGGGTGCCATCAGAGCAGAAACCTCATGCCCTGCCAGCTCCAGCTCAGCCCAGCCTTTGCCACCAGCTCTGCTGCAGTGGGTGGTGGGGCTGTGCCAGGCAGTGGGGCTTGCTGTGAGCACAGTAATTGTTCTGATGGTACACCTCAAGCTGAGAAATCACCTTTCAGTCCAGAGCAGGGATAGAGAAAGAGCATTGTCTGAAGGATTTCAGTAGTTGTAGCTTGACATCATTCTGGCTCAGAGAGAAAAGTGTAAATTTTTGAGTTTTAGAAAGGTGATGGAATGGGAGATATAAAACTGCTGGTGCAGGGTTGTCCCCTCCCTGAGCCTTCCTGGTCTCCACAAGGCCTGCAGAGCAAGTGGGAGAACCCCTCCATGGATAAATTAATTTGAAATCACATTGTCCACAGGGAGCATTCCCTGTTGCAGTGCTGCTGCTTCTCTTCCTATTTATTTAATAGGAATTAGGCACACTGAGCAGTGTCCCATGGGCTACTTTCTTCATGGTTGCACTGATTTCCAACAACTAAGCTAGCCCAAAAGAAAGCCTAATGAAAGCAGCAGATTTCCAGGTCTCTCTTTTTCCTTTACAGAAGACTGTCCCTTTCACACACAGAACACAGTGAGCCCAAACCGGATCCCCATTCTCCATGGGGACCAACTTGCAGGGATGACGAGAGAAACAGAATGAGTGCCCAGCTCTCCAGAGCTCAACTGCAGAGCCACAGGATTCACCACAGCCCTCCAAGACAGCCCATTCAATCTCTTGACTCGGGGCTGGAAATAGTGGCAGGAACGGAGAATCCATTACAGAGAACTAAATAACCCTCAGTGCACCACTGCTGGCTCCATAAGCACTCCTGCAGCTGCTGGGAGACTGCAGCAGCACTCCCCGGAGCAAGCAGACACAGGTGGTGCTGGCATGTGTCTGGAAACAGCCCAACATGACAGGAGGCTGAGATTTCTGGCTTTTTGGGCCCTTCCCCTCTGCCATGGGACCTCTCACCAAGCCCTGGGGTTTCCAGACAGCCCAGTGTCTGCCCCTGGTGGGCCAGAGGCTCTGGGCTCCGTGATTTGAAGGCAGTGTTGGCAGAGCAGGGAGATAATCTGTTTCCTGAGTTAAAATTGCTTTTTCCTCCCAAATGGTCCTTCAGGATTCACAAGGCTGTTAAGAGCAGAGGGGGATTTGGCTGGCCAGCCTGCAAGGCACTGGTGGGATGGAGGGGAAGGGAGCAGGCGCTGCCTGGGCAGGCACTGGAGACGGCACATTAACCATGGGAAGGAAATGTTGGCCAAGGGCTCCAGGGAGCCCTGAAAGCAGCACATGATGTTGAGTAGCTCCTATGGGCTCATACTGAACCCAAGAGCTGTGTCCACACCCAACAGTGCAAGATTTTTCTCCAAGGGCTCCTGGAGAGCATGGAGCAGGCAGGAGCCAGGAGAGGGACAGGCTCTTGGATGTTGGACTGGTTACTGCGTTAAGTTAACCCAAAAGTAAAGGGCCCATGTTTCTGCTCTGCAATGCAAGCTCTGAAGTAAGCCAAGCTCCTGAATGTTCAAGCAGTCCTTTCCTTCTTGTAGGATGGTTCTGGTATCATGTTTCTCATGGAACTCAGACACATGGTCAGGAGGGTGGCACACTGAACCTGACAGTGCTTGAGAAGGCAGATTGATGCTCCAGGACAAGGGGCTTGTCACAGGCATCTCCAGCCATATTCCCCGTGTGCCCTTTGTTTCCCTTCAGCCTTCACCTCTGCAAAGCGAGTTGGACTGTAGCCACTGGGACTGAATGCATGGAGCTGGCAGTCCTGTGTTGCCCACCACAGTGATAGGTATGCATAATGTCCATGATGGAGAAGAGACCAGCCACTTGTTCTTGCTTTGAAAAGCCTCCTGTTGCCAGGCAGGATCAAGGCCCACACCCCAGCTTATGTGTCATCAGTAACCTCTCCTGCTGTTAAAATTGCGTTGTCTCTCTTAATCATAAAAGGCTTCTTTTCCCACACTGGAAAATGAATTCAGCACCGCTGGCAAAGCTGGGGGCTGGGAAGTTTTAATTACTGTTTGTACAGTGCTCTGGGGCTCCAGGGTGAATGGTGCTGGAGGCCTGGGAAGGGTTATATTATATATTAGCAGTTACTTACATTTTATTTTATATGTGAGTTCTGTGGTCTTGTGAGCAGCTCCTTCCTGATGGCCCTGCAATGGGGCTTCCTAGCACAAGCAACACAAATCCCCCTCTCCTGTCACAGTTACTGCTGATGAGCATCACTGCAGTGTGAAAGAGAGGCCTAGAAAGTCCAATGTCCACCTACAGCCAAAATAAACTCAACCAGAGCATGCCTGTAAATACCCACCTGCTACGCAGGGAAGAAGAGCCCTAAAGCTCTCCTCCCACAAGGCTTTTCCCATTAAAACATCTCTTCCTCAGGCAATTCAGCCACATTCTGCATTAACCTTCCTGCCCCTTCCTTGTTCAGAACAACACCTTCTTAATTATAATCCATCAAATTCCTTTCCCCTCTACCTGGAAAAAAATGGGATTTGGGGACAAGGAACAATTACAAAGTTGTAAATCTATTTTCATGGGAAAGGAAATCAATCCAGCACCCTGCTGGGAGCCCTGCTTTGCCTAAACCCTGGCAAAATGCAGTAAGAAGTTAAGGCTCTTAGCAGGCGAGCTCTACAAGAGCTCTATTAAGCACAGCTCAGGTCTTTGTGGTCAAGTGTCCCCGCTGTGCCTGGCGCTCCTCTTTTGGCACAACGGGGCAATTGTGGCTGTGCCACTCAGCATCACACTCTGCCAGCACCCTCTGCTCAGGGGACAGGCTGCTCAGCAGCCCCTCACAGGCCAAAGCCAGTGCTTTAGGAAATGATTTTGCAGAGGGATATGAGTGTTTTGATGTTGTCAAAGTCCTGGAAAAAGGATACATTTGTTATCAATTAGTGTGTGCCTGCATGTGTTCAGCTGCAGGCGTGTGATGGTGTCTAGGCTTGTGATGCCACCCACATGAAAATCAGTGAGAGAATATGATCACTTTGATCTAACATTTTCCAGGGTTTTTTTTCCCCACAATAGTGTTTTGGTGGCACACTTGTTTGTCTGACAGAGACTTCCGAAATATTCCACTGATTACTTCAAAGGACAAAACTGGAGTTACTTAAAACTTGCCTAAGCTCACCAAATGCAAAATCCTCTCCAAAAGACATGGATTCCCTCTCTAGCCATCTGCCACCTGGTGGTTCCTCCTGCATGCTGGCTCCTGGAATGGTGGGCAGCCTGTGCCAGACATAGTGGGTAGGGCAGATAGCCCAGGGGAGGCCCCCAGGGTGAGGGCAAAGCCCAAGAGTGACAGCACTGCAGTCACCACCCAGTGGGTGACGTGCCAGCACTGCTTCTGATGTTTTCCTCAAAATCTGGGACAGACAGAAGGCAGGAAGAAGTTTAGCTGAGCCACTGTGCCCCTGCTGCTGCTCAGGAGGGTTTCATTTACTGCCTGGTCCTCCATGGTTTCTTCCAGGTGGCTGCTGTGGCTTTCCCAGGGCACGTGGTTGTAGGTCTCATTGGTTTTCAGGCCCCATCTCTGAAATCAGGCAAGGGACATATTCACAAGTCCTTCAGCAGCACCAGAGTGTGTCAGGGTATGGTGGAGCCAGCCCAGCCAGGGAAGGACAGAAAGGGATGAGGATGACAGTCCAGCTCACATGCCACCAGCACTTCCCCAGTGCTGAGCAGGTGTCAGAGGAACGTATTCTGCACAGTGTTTGTTCAGTTTGGAGTAACTCCTCTCTCAGGATACTCTTCAGCCTGCCTGGCATGAAGTTGGGAGGGATTCAGTGTGAAGCCACAAAAACAATCTTGAGGAAGAAACACAGATTGTCTCCTGTCCCCCAGCCCAGCGATCCAAAGTGGAGAGGCTGTCCATGGATGTCCCTTCAGGTCAGAATCCTGGGTATGGATCAGCATCAGGTCAGCATCCCTGGGTGCTCTGCAGCCTCTTTGAATGAAGTTGTGTTTGAGTTGGCTGCCACTGATCCCAGCCTGTCTTCAGCTCACAGATGCTTTTAACCTTTTGGGGAGGGGTCGGCATGGCCAGAAGCTGCTGAGGACACTGCCATGATTCAATCACATGCTCAGGACATGGACTGTAAACACAGCAGGGAAACCAGGCCACATCCCAGTCCAGCTTGGCTTCCTGTCTCAAGGTCCCCATCACCCAGAAGCTGGAGCTCACCTCTTTTTCCATTGCCTCTATGCAGCAGTGGTGAATATTTCAGTGATACTCCCTAAAAATAAAAATGTCAACAGAAAGAGCCATTTTATAGCATGGGTCTGTGCATCTTTGGGCCCTGAGCAATCAACAAGTGGGGAGGAGAAATGCTGAAATAACCCAGGACTGTGAAGGTAACAGTCCCTAATTGCCCATGGACCTGCTCTCCCCAGCATTACCTGGGGCAGGAGGGCTGTTTGAGGACTGATTTCCCTTTCTGCCTAGGCAAATAACCAGTTCTCCCCAAAAACAGTCCATCTGTCTGTTACTCTGCTTGATAGAAGAGTCTATATGTGGAAACAAGAAGTAAAACCTGTGTGACCCTGCCAGGATTCCTGTAGTGTGGCAGTGCAGGGACTGGTCACTGCTCCATTGCTTATGGGGGCTGCTCATTTTCTGCTACGGCTTTCATTGAGAAAGGATATAGGCAGCCTGTGTAGACAAGGCTTTGCTAAGCAGGAATACATAAACCCAGCTTATAATAGCCTTAAATATCAGAGTTTTGATTCAAAACTCAGCAGCAGCGCAGGAGAGAAACCAGAGAGCAAATACTTTGTGCAGCCTTTTGGGGAATGAGTGGATGAGCCAGAGTGTAAAGATAACAAAATTAGCTTTTTCTGGCAGTTCAGGAAATGTTCAACCCCTGCAATTCAGGTTTTGGGGGAATGACCCTACTTGGCATTCTTGCCTGCCTTCCTCAGGCCCTCATCTGTGCCTATCACAATCTTTGGCTGGATCCTTTACAGGAACTGGGGACAGGAGCTTCTCCCCAGCAGCTGAACAGAGCTGGTGAATTCTCAAGTAATGAAAGCACTGGTGAGAGCTGCATTAACCCCATCTAAGTGAGCAGCTCTGATGGATGTGCTGCATGCTTACAGAGCCAGCTCAGTACAGGAACAGGGCATCTGAGGACATCAGGAGGACAGTGAAAGCCTTGTCATACAGCCTAAAGTCTCACAGCAAGTGTCTATTAATAAGCCATGCCCACGCTTCCTCCAGGTATTTACAGTGCCCTTTCTCCCTGTTAGCTTTGAAAACCACAGCTCTGTTCTACAGAGCAAGTCTTTTTCTTTTAGTGATGCATTTGGTGCCACAAGTGCGTTTGACTGGGCCTGTGCACTGGTAAAAACCTACCTCATTTTGGGAAGTGAGCAGGATTTCCCTTTAAAAATGGTCTGTGTCTGGATGAACAGTTCCAGCCTGTCCTCTGGGAGCCTGTGCTGTGGAGTCAGTGGCTGGCTGGCTTTAATGCTGGCTGAAAAAGGGAACCACCGAGCCCACAAAATAGAGTGGTGACAGCATCAGTCCAGCCAGCAAAGTCACCTCCCCCAGGGCAGGTTATCCCAGGGAAACAGGGACAGGTGGGGATTCCCAGATGCTTGGAAGGGGATCTTTGGAGGCTTGCTAGTGTATGGGGACCCCCAAAAACCATGAAGAGTGGCTGGTTTCTCACCCTTGCCCAGGGCAAAGCTCCTTGTGCCACACTGATTCTTGGGCAAATTAGCCAAAACTGGCATAGCTGCAAAGTGGGGCCAGCTGACAACTGGGGTAAGCCTGGCCTGTGAGTCAGGTTGGGGTGAAAAGATAAGGAAAGAAGCATTTGCAGCCCAGGGAAACAATGGGGAAATTAAATGGAAATTGGGACCTCTGAGTACTTTTGCCTTTCCCCACGGAGAGCTCTGGGATGTAGAGAGCAGTTCCCAAAATCCAGCACTGTTATAACTCAGTTGTACCCTCTGAGAAATGTCTTTTTGCTGTTAGATGTGCAGCTGCTGCTGATTTCCTTCTCTTCAGCTAGAGCTGGAGACAAAGGACAGAATCATTGGTAATGAGCTATTTATG